AACACTAATTATTCAGAAGATGAAGAAAATGAAGAACTTTTATCAAGAGTGTGGATAGAGTCCAAGAAGCTATGGCGCATAGTAGGTCCTAATATCATCAACCGCTTGGCTGGCTACTCCATGACCGTCATTACCCAAGCCTTTGCTGGCCACCTTGGCAACGTTGAACTTGCTTCCATTTCCATTGCCACCAATATCATTGTTGGCTTCGGTTTTGCTCTCTTGGTAATTATAGATTTAGTTCAGCTTACCTCAATCTCTCAACTCACTCTAATATATACTTGGTTGATTTTCACTCTTGACATTTTGCATGTATCTTTTAGGCCAATTACATTGGTCTAGGGTTTTCAGTCAATTGCAGTTTTGGTTTTCAATTTGGCCATATGTGGCAAATAGGAGAAGGGAGACAAACATATAGATATAGCCACCCTACACTCTGTAAACCGATAAAGAAGTGGGGAACAAGAGTCGAACTTAGGATCACTTGCAAAGAAAAGCTTTGATTCCATGTTAGACAATCACTATCCTCAAAAGCTTAAGCTGTCATAGGATGGACCAACAATATGTATACTAAACTTACAAACATATGATATTGGCCTAATTGAAATTTCAAAAGAAACATTGTGAGGAGACATTCTTCCTAAGTAATAAACCACAATTTGTCACATGTAAAAATACTTTCATTTTATATGTTTAATGAGTCATTTCTATTTCAAACTATAACTAATGAGTCATTTTATATGTTTTCATTTCTATATTAATGACTCTTTTCATTTTTGTTTTGTTTTGACAATCAATTAGTTAGGAATGGCAAGCGCCCTAGAGACGCTATGTGGGCAGGCCTTTGGGGCTAAAAGGTACCACATGTTGGGGACGTACATGCAAAGGTCATGGATTGTGCTGTTCTTCTGCTGCATTCTCCTATTGCCTGTGTACATATTCGCCTCCCCGATTATAAAACTAATGGGACAGTCCGATGATGTGGCAGAGCAGTCCGGCGTGGTGGCTCTGTGGCTTATACCCTTGCAATTCAGCTATGCGTTTCAGTTCCCATTGCAGAGGTTCTTGCAGAGCCAGCTCAAGAACCTAGTGACATTGTGGTTTTCCTTGGCGGTTTTGTTTCTTCATGCAGTGACGAGTTGGGTTTTAGTGTATGAGTTAGATTTTGGGGTTGTGGGTGCGGCCATGGCTCTGGATATTTCATGGTGGGTTTGGGGGCTCGGCTTATTTTGGTATGTTTCGTCTGGTAGGTGTCCGCATAGTTGGGCTGGTTTCTCCATGCAGGCCTTTTCTGGGCTTTGGGCATTTGTCAAATTTTCTGCTGCGTCTGGGTCCATGCGCTGGTATTGAATCTTTCCTTTGCTTTATTTTTTATTTTTTAAGAAATTTTTTTTAAATTTTTATGTATAAATTTATGTAGATTTTTAGCTATATTATTATTTAAGAAAAGATGGTTTATTAACCAATTTTTTGAAGACTCCAACCATACCCTCTAACTTTAAGATAGTTTAGTAAAATTTAAATAAATTGAGGGTAGGTACATATATGGATACGAATTTTTTGACGTTGGTATTGACGTTTATTAATTTCTAGCTATATTATGGATACGAACGTCAATACAAATTTCTTTTGTGGACACCAACACCCAATGTCCATTGATCTTTTTTTTAGTAGTGTAAATGAGTTTTCAGCTATTTTTATATGTACATATATATATATACAGATATATATCCATAATGCTACCTTCTGATTTCTGCAGCTTGGAATTCTGGAGCTATAGAATCCTAATTCTAATGACTGGATCCTTAGAGAAAGCAACTCTTGCTGTGGATGCCTTGACAATTTGGTACAAGACCTAACCTTCGGGACTGTATAATATATATATATTTTTTAATTTTATTATTATTATTATTTTTTTTTGCTTGAATTTATCTTTTAAAATCCACACCTAATTTGGTTTAAGTTTTTAATTTTTCCTTCTGATATTGCTTGGATTCCATTTTGCAGCATGACTATGGGCTCGTTTGGGACTGCTTTTTTAGGAAGCACTTATGCTCCTAAGCGCTTCTAACAAAAGCGTTTTTATTATAAAGTTGTTGAAATTTTCATAAAAATCGAAGTGCTTCTTGAAAAAGCATTCCTGAGTGCTTTCTGAAGAAGCACATGATAGGTGCTTCTCCAGAAAGCGCTTCTATGGCCCAAAAACACTTCTAAACTTTTCTGCCAAACGCTGTTAGAAGCGCTTTCGGTTATCAGAAAGCGCTTTTAGCCCTTCCAGAAGCACTCCCAAACGAGCTCTAAAAGTGGTTGGGAGCTCATGATTCATTGGGCCTTCTTGGTTGGAACAGGGTACCATATTTTTTTGACCTCTTTCCACTATTCTTCTTCTCCTAAAAAAATACGTAGATATGCATGTTATAGGCGTATTACACGTGAATTTACTAACAAAGGTTTCAACATGTTAATTCTTTCTAATTATTTTTTTAGCAGCCTTCTGAAAATCTTGTCATGATGAAATTCACAGAGTAAGAGTGGCGAATGAGTTGGGAGCTGGAAACTGGAAGGCAACTAAATTTGCAGCAAAGGTTTCTATGGCAGAATCTGTCTTCATCGGTTTATGCATATGTATAATTACTATCATACTCCATGACAAGTTTGCATACACATTCACATCCAGCACTGATGTCATCCAAGAAGTTGGTCAGATGTCGTATCTCTTGGCAATGGCAATTCTACTTAACAGTATTCAACCCGTCCTGACAGGTTAATTTTGAGAATTCATGATGCTCCTAATTAACAACAAATTAGTCCTAGTATAACCTTAATATTGCTTCTACGAGGTGCTAGTACTTTACCCAAAAATTTTTAAAAAGCATTTCTACTCATAACTGTTTTAAAGTTTAATTGAAAATACAAGTGCTTCGGGAAAAAACTTGAAAATGCACCTACCATTGTCCGAAATGACTATAAAAAAAAAATTTGTAATCCAAAAACACTTTAAACTTTTTTATGTGAAATGATGTTAGAAGTTTCTTTGGTTATTTGAAAGCGTTTTATCCCTTCTGAAATCACTGTCAAACGTAACATTAGTGTGTTTTTTCCCTTCTATTAAATCAGTAAAACAATTGTCTTTGTGTTCACAGGAATAGTTGTGGGCACAGGATTGCAAGCATGGGTTGCATACATAAATCTTTTCTGCTACTATATTATTGGGCTCCCACTTGCCTTTGTAATGGGATGGATCCGCCACTTGGGTGTTTCGGTACATTTCGCTATGTTTCTCTTTGTTATTGCGCCAATTAAGAGCATCTCTAATGGATTAGATAAACCCTTTCTAGGTCTTGTTTTTTATACTCAAATTCACCCCAAAAAAAACAAAAACAAAAACAAAAATCATCCAACATGCTAGCTATCCATAAGTAAAATTTAGCTTTCTGAATAATGATTCAGTCTAATTAAAAAACAATCAAATGTTCAAAGTTAATCAAAACTAGAGAGTATGATCAGAGTAGAATTATTATAGCGGCCAGTTATATTTAACTAATTGATTAGCTTGTGCAAATTATTATAAAACAGGGTATATGGGGTGGGATGATCTTTGGTGGAACTGCTGTGCAAACGGTGATTTTGGCCATCGTGCTAATACGACATGATTGGGAAAAGGAGGTATAAGAATTTGTATTTACTTGTCCTTATTCTGAATGCTTGCTAGCCCGAGTGTAGTTATTCTCCCATCCAATATTTATACTGTTGGATCAATTTTGCAGGCTCAGAAGGCTAGCCAGCGTGCAAAGAAGTGGTCAGCGCCTAACCCTGACAATCAAATAGAGGAACATAAATAGAACAAAAATACATGAGCATTAAATCGAACCAATTTTTTATAATTTTGATATAATCTGCAGGTTCAAATTTTGTAATCATATTCTAAGTAGTTTTCAATTCTTCCAGTGTGTCTCAGCTCCAATTGAATTTCTCATCAACTTGGCCTCATAAAGCAACTACATTTGTTATGGAGAATCTATTAAGTGGAAATTACTTCAGTTTTTTAATGCACCTTCAAATTTTTGCAAACTGTGCTAGGATGGGATCATTGCATCTCAATCAAGAGGAGCATGTGGAGTTGATTTGTTCACTTTGGTAAAAAATAAAAAAGAAGTGAATTTGCCAATGAAAAGAAGTTAGTTTGCTCAATCATGGAGCCCAAGTGCTTAATCAGCTCAAGAAAAGTGCGAGGGAACATTCTGCAGAAAATCCAATTGAGTGGATATGCACCAGTTCTCCAGCTACATTTTCCGGTCCAGAGAGCACGATTTCGTGATGTTGCAAAACTGCTCGAGCCACGCGGATGCAGTTTTGTTTTCTTGGCCTTGTACATGATTTTGTAGCTCTTTTTGGTCTTTCCCACCCTTGTAGCTTCTTTTTTGTAGCCCGCCCTTAGCTCCTTCCCCCCCCCCCCCCCCCCCCCCCCACTTTTAGGGTGTATGGTTCAGGACTTGTGAACTTGCGAGTCATGGGTGTAATTAGGGATTCTCTATTGAGAATTTGGGTTGAGAAGAGAGGGATTCTTTCTAGTGGTTGGAAGAACCCACTTCTGTTCTTCAAGTTGTTGTGCTCACTTCTTTGACTTCTTCATTATGTTTTTGTTTTTGTTTTTGATAAGACTGAAACTTTTAGCCAGGTCACATTGTTAATATACCTTTATTATTTCATAATTTTCTACTAAATCAGCTTATTGCCTTGCTCTGATGCTTTGGATTGAATAATTGTGCTTACACATAAGTTTGGAAAAGGCTAGTGATTTTAACATTTCTAATTTAGCCTTATCATTGGTACTCTTTGTAACACATGGCGCAATATGATACACAAAGATTGAGGGGTGAGCAAAAAACAGGTATCAGCAAAGATAAGATTTGCATCACAAGTCTCAGTCACAATAAGAATGTTGCTAATATGATGTGAAGTTAGGAAAACACTGTCACATTGAGAATCCAAATCTAAGCATGCTCATTCAGAACCTCACAGAGTTATACCTTGATGATGTAAACATATCATCAGCACGTGGGGCTCACTGGAGCCAAGCAATATCATCTTCACTGCCAAACTTGAAGGTGTTGAGCTTGCGAAGCTGTAATATTTCAGGCCCTATTCATCAGTCTTTTGCTAAGCTTCAGTCTCTATCCGTGCTTCTATTGGATCACAACGATATCTCTGCTCCAATTCCTGGATTCTTTGCCAACTTTTCAAGCTTGACTTCCTTAAGTCTCATTTCATGTAACTTGTACGGGACGTTTCCCAAAGAGATCTTCCAGATAACTACACTGCAGGAAGTTAACCTTTCATGGAATCCCCGGCTTCAGGGTTCCTTGCCAGAATTTCTTAACAATGGATCTCTCCAATACCTAGATCTAAGCTGGTCAAAATTTTCAGGGTTCCTGCCAAAATCTATTGGCAACCTTAAAATGTTGTCTACACTAGACTTCTCAGATTGCAGTTTCACTGGATCAATCCCAAACTCAGTCGCAAACCTAACACAATTGATTTTTTATCCATGTCCTCAAATAGTTTTAATAGTCCCATTGATTCTATTCACTGGGAAAACCTTGTTAATCTGGAAGTTCTCATGTTGGACTCCAATCTACTCCATGGGAGTATTCCATTGTCTCCCTTTTCTCTTCCTGTATTTATCACTTTCGCAGAATCAATTCTATGGTCAATTACCCGAATTTGCCAACATCTCTTCAAACTTACTGGACACCCTTGATTTGAGTGGCAACCATTTGGAAGGACCAATACCTACTTCTATCTTTAATCTTAGAGGGCTTCAAGATCTTCGGCTTTCTTCAAACCATTTCAGTGGCTTTCCTTTCAGTGGTCCTCAGCAGCCTAAAAATCTTTCGTTTCTTGATCTTTCCAACAATAGCTTGTTGATTGATTACAATGGAAGCAGTCCAACATCTTCCTCCTTCCTTCAAATTCAAGACTTGTTCTTGTCCTCTAACAAGTTGAGGGCCTTCCCAGACTTCTTGAGAAATCAATCCAGATTAGCCAATTTGGACCTTTCAGAAAACCAGATTCAAGGCGAGATACCCTACTGGATTTGGAAGCTCAATTCTCTTGTTAAACTAAATCTTTCTTACAACTCCTTTGCAACTCTACAAGGTCCTTTACTTAACTTAACTTCTACTGGATTTGGAGCCTGTCTGGTAATGTTTTTGGAGAATTTTTTCTAAGAATATTTTCAGAAAATGGAAATGAGAAAACGAATTTGCATTTTTAGGATCCGAAAATGCATCTGATAGATTAATTAGAACATATTCAGAAAATAAAAACAATGAAAATGTGTCTGGTAATACAATATGAGAATAATAATAATAATATCTGAGCTATTTTCAAGTGTATTTTTGCTAATTTATGTTCTAAAAAATTAATTAAAATAATAATAAAATTCTAATGTTAAAAAAACCTAGATAATAAAATTCTTATTATCTTTAGTTTAAATAAATACTAGCATTTCCGCAAGCGCTTCTGTGCCTGTAAGAGGCTTTTTTCAAAATAATTTAAATTTATTTTAGAATTAAAAAAGATAATGGGTAGTTGTGTTCCATAAAAATAGGATCCATTATCTGATTTTTCTTTTAATTTTAATTTTTTTTAAGAATAATATATAATGGTTTTTATATACTGGTTTAACAAAATAAACTAATGAAGTGCAACGAAAAAAAATTTAAGAATCAGACCCCACCCACCCCACCCCCCCCCCCCCCCCCCCCCCCCCCCCCCCCCCCTCTCTTTCATGCTCGCCCGCACCCTCTCTCTCTCTCTCTCTCTTCTCACTGCAACCTCACCTTCTAGTAGCTTCCCAGCTCCCCATCTCCCAGATTTTCATCCTTTTATTTTTATTTTAAACGTTTTTCCTTTTCTTGGATTGAAAATTGATTCGATTATTAGTTGTTCAACGATGGTGGTTCAATTCAATTGGGTAGAGATTCCGTTGGGTTCGATTGAGTGGTGGTGATGTCAATCTGGTTCAATGGGGCGGTGGTGATTTTGATTGGGTGATGGTAGTGGTTCAAGCTCTGCGTGTGGTTGCGGTTTCGAGCGATCGTGTTTGACGGTCTGTGCTGGCGTGTTTGACGGTGGTGGTTGTGGTTTGAGTGGATTTGATTGTCTTTGTTGGTGGTGATGGGTTTGATTGGTGATGTTATGTGCGTGTTTGACGGTGTGTGGTGGCGTGTTTGACGGTGGTGGTTGTGGTTTGAGTGGATTTGATTGTCTTTGTTGGTGGTGATGGGTTTGATTGGTGATGTTATGTGCGTGTTTGACGGTGTGTGGTGGGGTGTTTGACGGTCTGTGCTGGCGTGTTTGACGGTGGTGGTTGTGGTTTGAGTGGGTTTGATTGTCTTTGTTGGTGGTGATGGGTTTGATTGGTGATGTTATGTTTGAAGATATTGAATCTGTATTTTCTGAAAGGAATGGGTATGGGATTTGAGAAATGTGAGAAGGGAAGGGAAATGATGAAAACATCTAAAAGTTGAGATCGTTTTCAATTATTAGTTTTCCGTGTTTTCAAACTTAACAGCACCGAACGCGTTTTTAGTAGTTTTAATTCTCAGAAAACAGAAAACGGGGTGGGAAAATGATAACGAAGGGGCCCTAAGTTTTGTGGGTTGTTTGTTTTATCCTTTTTTTCTTTTTTAGAGACAGGTCGAAACCAAATTGAAAGGAAATTTGGGATTGAATTGTTTGTTGTCTATTCATCTCTTTGCGGAGGTGAATATAAAGATGTACAAATTGAGTTATCATACAAGGAATAAATAAATACATCCTAAATTAGGATTCCTTATTAAATAAGAAATTTATTTCAAAATGTTTAGTTTATAACACATGCAGCTCATGAACTCGTCCTTAGATTAGCTGTGGCATTCTTTCTTTCAACCTGAAATAACATTCAACAGTAAATTATAGTTTTGTTTTCTTGTCACTGGATTAAACCCAAGCATTGAATATTACAGATAAGTCAGTCAACAATGATCATGGAAATAAAAAGCATCAATTGATGAAAGCTTTGTTTTCCAACTCCTTTGTCTAATGGAAGCCTTTTCCAGTTATACCTTATTGAGAATGAGGTTATATGAATGTGAAGTTAGGAAAACACTGTCAAAAAAGTAATGTGGACTGTTGTGGGCAACGTATAGAAAAAATTTACTACAACGGTCAAAAAACTTGTTATAAAAGCCGGTGGTGGTGAGAATTGTTACTTCACCAAACCAACCATTCTTTTGAGTCTTTGCCATTAGCTTTCAAGATCTCTGCTCTCTGCTTTAATCATATTTCCCAGTTGTTCATCTGCACTTCATTTTCCCTTTTGTTTTTCAAAACCTGTTATTCAGTAAATTCTAACGCCAAGCCAACAAGCAACAACAATGGCTGAAGCATTGGTTTCCGTAGTGCTACAACAGCTGGCTTCCATCACCCTGGAGCAAATAGAAGAAGAGGTGAACCTGGTCGTCGGTGTCGACCAAGAAGTCCAAAATCTCATCGGCCATCTCCAGGCAGTTCAAGGCGTGCTCCAGGATGCAGAGGAGAGGCAGGTGAAGGAGGCCAACATCAAGAATTGGCTGTACAATCTGAAAGACGCGTCATACCAGATAAACGACGTTTTGGATGACTGGAACACCGCCATTCTCAAGCATCACATGAAGAAGCAAGAAAAAGAAGGTGAGAATAATGATCTTGTCCTTGCTAAGAGGAATAAGGTACGGTTCTCCATTCCCTCCTTCGTCAAAAATATTCTTATCTGTTTTGGTCAAATTGGTGATGGTCAAATTGGTGATCGCATAATTATGCGTCATGACATTGCTAAGAGGATAAAAGAAATCAATGAAAGGCTAACTTGGATAGCCATTTTAAGAAACAATTATAACTTTCAAAGCACAGTAAGAGGCACCGAACAAGTTGAACGATCCAAAACCACTTCCTTTGTCGACGTGTCTACCATAATTGGTCGTGAAGAGGAAAAAAATAATATACTTAGCATGTTGAAAAGTGAGAGTGGTCATCAATTGGTGATCCCGATTGTCGGGATGGGAGGGTTGGGCAAGACTGCTTTTGCCCAATCCGTGTACCATGACCAAAATGTAACAACTCATTTCCACCAGAGAATATGGGTTTGTGTGTCTGACCCTTTTGAAGAGATTAAGATTGCCCGAGCCATCATTGAAGTTCTGAAAGAAGGCGATACTCGAAAGAACTCAAATGAGTTTCAAACTTTGTTAGAATGTATATCCGACAATATTGTTGGTATAAAGTTTCTCCTCGTCTTAGATGATGTGTGGAATCCCACTATGTGGGACCCATTGAAGGCAGCTTTGCAAAAAGGTGATGCAAATAGTAGAATATTAGTGACCACTCGAAATAACACGGTTGCTGTTATGATGGGAGCAACCAATGATCACATGATCAATTTGAATAAGTTGAGCGACCGACATTGTTTGGATTTATTCCATAGAATTGCATTCTTTGACAAAGAAAAAGATGAGTCTAAGTTGTTTGATGAAGATATTAAGAAAAAGATTGCAAAAAAGGTTGATGGCTTGCCTCTAGCTGCAAAGACTTTAGCTAGTCTCATGCAATATAAGAAGACAAGAAAGGAATGGGTAGCTGTTTTGGAGAGTAAGATGTGGGAATTAGAAGAGGTTGAACAACAGGTTTTTAAATCACTATTACTTAGCTATTATGATTTGACTCCAGCTGTCAGACAATGTCTTTTATTTTGTGCTGTTTTCCCAAAAGATTACAAGTTTGATAGAAATGAGTTGATTGAGTGTTGGATGTCACAAGAATATCTTAGTATGAAAGGAGATAAAGAAAAAGAAAGAATGATAGGCCAACAGTACTTTGATAACTTAGTGATGCGTTCTTTTTTCCAAGATTTTGTTAAAGACGAAGTGGATGATGATATTATAGGCTGCAAAATGCATGATATTGTGCATGACTTTGTACAGTTTCTCACCAAAAATGAATGTTTTATTATGGAGGTGGTGGAAAGTGGTAAAGAGAAAAACATGGTAGTCGATAATAAGATTCGTCATTTGAACATAATGTCAACATACAATGATTCGTTTCCTGTTTCAATCTACAATTGCAAAGGATTACGGACTCTGGTAATTTCTACTTGGAAACTTCCTCCGTTACCCTCGGACTCATTTTCAAAATTGAAAAGCATTAGAACATTAAATTTGAAAAAAAACACAATCGAAGAAGTTCCCGAAAGTATTGGTGGACTAGTACATTTGCGGTATCTCGATTTAAGTGGGAATCATGAATTGGAAGAATTACCCGATTCTGTGGGTAATTTATTCAATCTGGAAACATTGCGTCTCATTGAGTGCGAGGGACTCAGAGAACTACCGGTGAGTTTAAGAAAGTTGGTTAACTTAAAGCATCTTTATATTGAGGGGTGCCTTAAGCTAGAATTACCAAAAGAGATTGGAAGATTAAGAAATCTACAAATCTTAGATTTCTTGTATCTTCAAGACGGTGGTGGCGAGGATGATGAAGGAATTTTCAAGTTAGGGGATTTGGGAAACTTGGAGCAGCTTCAGGAGAGCCTTTTGATAGGAAACTTGAAGTCAGCGAAAGATGGGAGTGAGGCTAAAAATGCAGAATTGGTGAACAAGAAGAACCTCCTTCATTTGACTCTAGATTTTGGGCACAACTTTAGAGAGAGAGAGCCGGATTTAAAGGATGAAGAAATACTGAATGGCTTTCAAGTGCATACAAATCTGGAGTCGTTAACTATCATTGCGTACCTCAGTACCACCCTGTGTCCCAGTTGGATGATGAGCTGTCATAATCTGAGAAGGCTTGAATTCTATGTTGTTCCATTTTGTGGGGTTTTGGCTCCTCTGGGGAAACTCCCGTCCCTTGAATATTTAGAGATGGGTTGGATGAAGAGTGTGAAAAAGGTGGGAGTTGAATTTTTGGGAATAACGGGCGAAACACCGCAAATATTAATAAACTCGTTTCCGAAATTGAAACAACTCCAACTTCGACACATGTGGGAGTGGGAAGACTGGGAAGGAGTAGAAGAAGAGGATTCTAAAATTACAATAATGCCATCTCTTTTGAAGTTAGAAATCATCGACTGTATAAAGCTGAAAGCACTGCCGAACTTCCTTTGGAAGACCCCGCTGCGAGAATTAATCATCGTCGGAGGGGATTGTCCGATTCTTGCACAATGGTTCGAGACGAGATGTGGAATGGAGTGGTTGAAAAATGCGTCTCAAGTCCAAAACATCAAAATTCAGGGCAAGTTTGTGAAAAAAGACGGAGTTGGAATGTTGGAGGAGGATTGATGATGGGCTCTGCCTGCCTGCCTATCTGATCCACCTCTTGGGCTAAAATGGTAATTTTGAACACCTTCCTTGCAATTCTTTAATTTTATTTAAGTTTATGGTTGCTTGCTACCATCTTCAGATTTACGTATTTTCTTAAAATTAAAATATCAACAACTCTCCGAATCTCAACAACTCTTTATCCAAGAAACTTCACCTAATTTTTCTTATTTTCTATTTTTGGTTTTTATCACTCTTGGTCTCACTAAACTATTTCTACGATGGGAAGCATTGACAGGGAAGAAGCAAAAGTGGATCTTAACCAATCTCTGTTAGCAGAACCATCTCAAGCCAAACACCTTCCATCCAGAGTTTGGATAGACTCCAAGAAACTGTGGATGCCTTATCAATTTGGTATACTACTTTCATTTTTATTTTTATTTTTTCTTGCAGTTTCTTCTAATTTGGTAAATTTTCAATTTCACCATATTTTAACTGTAAGTTTTAAGTTTTAACCTTCTCTTTTTTGTGTTGTTTGCATTGAAACTTGCAGCATGACTATAAATGGGTGGGAGCTCATGATTCATCTAGCCTTCTTTGCTGGAACAGGGTAACTATTTTTGACCTCTCGCCACTTTTTTAGTAAACAATTGAAAGAAAAAAAAGAATTATTATGTAGAAGCAATGAGATAGATTAGTTAGGGATTTTGATATATTTTCTTATTTTGCTTATGGTTAAATATAATTATAATGTTCATTCTTTTTTGTCATGAACTCACAGAGTATAGGTAGCAAATGAGCTGGGAGCTGGAAATGGTCAGGAAGCAAAATTTGCAGCAAAAGTTTCTGCTGCGGAATCAGTTCGGGTACATATTCACTTCCAGCACTGATGTCCTCCAATCAGTTAGTGAAATGTCTTACCTCTTGGCAGTCACAATTCTACTCAACGGTGTTCAACCCGTCTTATCAAGTTAACTTTTAACCATCGTAAATTTTTTAACTACAAATTAGTCGTAAATTTTCTTTAAATTAGTATTTATGATAATTAACTGTATGTTATCAATTAATACAAAGGAGGAATTTAAATTAGTTATTGCATTTGTTTTCATTTCTTTTCAGTTGGTTAACTGTATGCTAATTCATTGATTTTTATAAAAATTAATTATATATTGTAGGTATAAACACATTCCTTGGGTTTCCTTAATGAGTTTTGATCATTCTTTGATCCTTTGGAATATGGAGAATCAACACAGCAGGTCTTTACCAAGTATTTTCTCCAAATGCACCTATCTAGTATGTTTCTGTTCGCAGGTACGTAATCAAGTCGTTTCTAATTCGAGCAAGTCTCGTCTCTGCTACATAAATCCTCATTTGATTTCAATTCATCATGCTTACCTCCTAGTCCTCGTGTTTTATGCCATTTTGTTATGCAGGGTCTCTACTTAGGACAATAACCTGTTGCAAATCATGGATGCGTGGATGTCACCTCCTCAGTCCTCACAAGGGTCACCTTTACTTTCTGTGGCTGTGGATCTTTCTGGTTTATTTATCTATTCCGAAAGTTTTCCTTCTTCTTCCCGTCCTTTTTCTATCCAGTTATATGCTCAATATTTGTTGTCATTTTTTATGGCCCTGAATATGGAAGAAACTGAACATGAATTGATCAAATTCTTTCAGGTCCGTCAAACTTGACACATCTGAGCTTTAGAAGAAACGATGCAGTTCTTCGCGTGGAGTTAGTAGCTTCGGTTGCTGTAATTAACTGGATCTATTGGACAGAGTCAGAATGTCATGAGATCCATAGAAGACATGTTCATCTCGAAGGTATCTTTGCCTCAAATTGTAAAATTGAAAATATCAACTTTATTTTTTCCTAACGCAACAATTCGAGGAACATACATGTTTTGCTTCTAACCTTGTGCGTACATACGTTTAAGGTTCTGTTCTGAAAGTGTAATCACATTCTAATCCCATTGAATTTCTCATTAACTTTGCCTTGTAGTGTCTCAAATGACTACCATGTTTGTGGAGACTCTATTAAGTGGAAATTACTTTAGTTTCTTAATGCACATGCAAAATATTTCTGCAGGAGCAGCAGATTTGCGAATTGTGCTAAGATCGTTGCATCTCAATTAAGAGGCACAGTGGATAGGATTTTGATTGGTAAGTAAATATTGCAAGGTAATATTTTTGGAATTTGGAACCAAACTGGTCTTTCAAGCCTTCTTTATTAAATTAGATTCATGAAATAGGTTTGTCACTCTATTTGTATTCGCGGTTTAAAAAGCTGAGGTCCTTCGGATTGTGTGCAGAATCAACAGATGCTGTGATAAAGAACACTATCACCACAACCTGCAGTGGCTATGAGAGCCCTAAGCATGGTCCACCCTTGCCATTAGCTATATGCTTTGAAGGTTGGAATCTCCTTTGCTTTGGATGCTTCTTGTGTGCCTCTTGTGGTGAAATCTGACTCTTTGACAGCAGTTCAAATGATTAACACTTATGAGGAGTGCTTGCATCAAAGGGGGTTTTGGTGGATGAGATTCATTGCCTAATTGAGTTATGATGAGACCACAAACTACTGTTCAGTATGTTCCTCGTAAAGCTAATGGAGCTGCTCACCTGCTTGCTCAGTTTTGTCTTCGTGAATCAATCTATCATTTTGGATGGATGAGTGCCCTCCTTGACTACTCATGGATTGCATTCAAGATGATTGTCCTTCTCTGCATTCCTTTCCTTGATTATGTTGTAATTTCTTGGCATATGTGGTACTCTTTCCTGTGCCGAAGTTTTGTCCAATGTGATTTTCTTCAGGAAGGTTTTAACGAGACCACTTTGATACATGTTGACTCTATTGTTCTTGATTATTTGAATGAATTATCGTTTACAAAAAAAAACAAGATTGAATTGAGCTTTTAGTTTTTGCAAGGTGACACCAAAAGACATTAGGAAGGTTCATATTGGTGTTTATTTAGAGTTTGGACCTTTGTGTCCCCATGAAAATAACCAAGAAAAAAGTAACGGGAATAAAATAACCACCCTTTAATTTTCCTTTTGAGCCAAGTCCAATATGCTTTAAAATGTCCATTCTAAATCCAATGCATAAAATTGGCAATGTATTATTTGATTGACACTAGAGGATCTCATTTTCTCAATCCTATTCTTGGAGTATGTCAAACTTAACAAACCCTCATTGTCAATTGAAGTTAAGTTAAAGCCAATAATGACCTTTAAAAAATTAAATTATATTAAAATTAAAGAGGTTATCTTGGTAGATAGACGATGATGTACTTTGTTTTAGATATTTTTCTTTTTGTTTTTTTCTTTGCTTTTTTATGTTGATTGTCTAAAAGGAGATACTGATAATTCGCCATTTTGTACTTCTGAACCGGGATATACTACGTAGACATCACTATAGCCAAGATTGGCCGCAAGCTCCAGCCCCATGACAGCTGCTTCAGCCTCCACGTGGAATCTGACTCAAAGACCCTTGTGGACGGGATCAAGGGGGATATAAGGAACCGTGCCTGGACTATCAGGCCTTCTATAGAGGTTATCTGGCGTAGAGCTGATCAATTCAGAAGTGTTTTTGGGCGTTGGGTTCAAAGGAGTTCACATCGGGCAGCTCATGAGGCTGCAGCACTAGGTTGTCGAGCAGTGGAGCTGGAAAGCTGGGTTACTCAACCACCGCTGTCTCTTATACATGTTTTGGTGTCTGATGGTCTTCCAGGTCCTCCTTAATTTTTGTTTTTAGAGTAGGAGTTTTCTTTCTTTTGCTGGATTGTAGCGATTCAGATTAAGGAGATTCTGTAGTTGTCTCAATTTCTGCTTTCTGTGTATTTCCTTGCAGTTGCCTTTTGGCTTGGAATCTAATTCATGGAAAAAAAAAAAAAAAAAAAAAAAAAAAAAAAAAAAAAAAAAAAAAAAAAACCCCTACATACTACTACAATACTAAGGGTCACTTTGGTTGAATTGATTATTTGGCCTGGACATTTATATGGCTCATATGATTACAAGTTTACAACCATGAGCAAGAAGAGCACACTGAGATGGCCACCTAATTCTTTATTCTCATGGTCATTAATTTACTCAAGTTATAATACGTGTAGTTATTTATTTATTTTAAATTTTGATCCTCTCCTGCCCGGGCTGGGTCCTTGCGGTGGAAGTGCCCTAAGTTCCAATCCTTCTTACATAAATTCTACTATTTCTTCTACTACAAATGCTTCTTTCTTTTTCTATTTTTAAGCACCTTTCCTTCAATCTGTTCCACAGAATGAAAGTCAACTAAACATTTTACAAATCACCACAGCCATTTGATGAGTTGAAATTCGCCTGTAAAAAATTTCTGCAGAAGCCTCAGGCTTGCAAATTATGACAAATGATCCACAGAGGCAATGACATCATCAATCTTAACACCATTATCTTCTTCCAGAAACAAAGTCACATTGTTAAAGTTTACTACTAAATGATACACAAAGTGATAATATTTCTTATTTGCACAACAAAGATAAGAAGAGTAAAATATGAGAAGTGGAGGCAATAATGCAGTCCTTTTTTGTTTTTGTTTTTTTTCGTCTACTTAGAAACTTGTCAGAGGCTTCGAAGAAAATGCACAACTTACCAATTTCCTAAAGGGAAAAAAACAAAAGAAGAAGATTATGTGTGAACAATATATTATTTTAAATTTTATTTTACTAGTAAATGTCAAACTCAAAGATCAAGCCAAAGAAGTAGTCCAACATATGTTCTTTCTAGGAATCATCGTAGAAAAGTAGTAGAACAGTAACGTGAGGTTTGTCCTACTTTCTTAAACAATTCATTGCATTATTGTGGATTAAGGTTGTGAGGTTAGGAAAACACTGGATTAGAAAAAGGGTCAAAAAACTTGTTATAAAAGCTAGTGGTGGCGAGACTTATCACTTCACCAACTATTCTTTTGAGTCTTTGCCATTAGCTCTCAAGATCTCTACTCTCTGCTTTAATCATATTTCCCAGTTGTTTCCCTTTTGTTTTTCAAAAACTGTTATTCAGTACATTCTAACGCCAAGCCAACAAGCAACAACAATGGCTGAAGCATTGGTTTCCGTAGTGCTACAACAGCTGGCTTCCATCACCCTGCAGCAGATAGAGGAAGAGGTGAGGCTGGTCGTTGGCATCGACCAAGAAGTCGAAAATCTCATCGGCCATCTCCAGGCAGTTCAAGGCGTGCTCCAGGATGCAGAGGAGAGGCAAGTGAAGGAGGCCAACGTCAAGAATTGGCTGTACAATTTGAAAGACGCGTCGTACCAGATCAACGACGTCTTGGATGAGTGGAACACGGCCATTCTCAAGCATCACATGGAGAAGCAAGAAAAAGAAGGTGAGAATGATCTTGTCCATACTGAAAGGAATAAGGTACGGTTCTCCATTCCATCCTTCCTCGGCAATATTCTTATCTATTTTGGTCAAATTGGCGATCGGATAATTATGCGTCGTCACATTGCTAAGAGGATAAAAGAAATCAATGAAAGGCTAACTTGGATAGCAATTTTAAGAAACAATTATAACTTTCAAAGCACAGTAAGAGGCACCGAACAAGTTGAACGATCCAAAACCACTTCTTTTGTCGACTTGTCTACCATAATTGGTCGTGAAGAGGAAAAAAAAGAAATAATTAGGACTTTGAAAAGTGAGAGTGGTGATCAATTGGTAATACCGATTGTAGGGATGGGAGGGTTGGGCAAGACTGCTTTTGCCCAATCTGTGTACAATGACCAAAATGTAACAACTCATTTCCACGAGAGAATATGGGTTTGTGTGTCTGACCCTTTTGAAGAGATTAAGATTGCCCAAGCCATCATTGAAGTTCTGAAAAAAGACGATGATCGAAAGAACTCAAATGTGTTTCAAATTTTGTTGAATTGTATATTTGAAAATATTCATGATAAAAAGTTTCTCCTTATCTTAGATGATGTGTGGAATCCCACTGAATCAAACTGGAAACAATTAAAGGCAGCTTTGCAAAATGGTGATAAAAACAGTAGAATATTAGTGACCACACGGAAAAACAATGTTGTTGATATGATGGGAGAAACCAATGATCACATGATCAATTTGAATAAGTTGCGCGACCAAGATTGTTTGGAATTATTCCGTAGAATTGCATTCTTTGACAAAGAAAAAGATGAGTCTAAGTTGTTTGATGAAGATATTAAGAACAAGATTGCAAAAAAGGTTGATGGCTTGCCTCTAGCTGCAAAGACTTTAGCTAGTCTCATGCGATATAAAAAGACAAGAAAGGAATGGGTAGCTGTTTTGGAGAGTAAGATGTGGGAATTAGAAGAGGTTGAACAACAGGTTTTTCAATCACTATTACTTAGCTATTATGATTTGGCTCCAGCGGTCAGACGGTGTCTTTTATTTTGTGCTGTTTTCCCAAAAGATTATGAGTTTGATAGAAATGAGTTGATTGAGTGTTGGATGTCACAAGAATATCTTAGTATGAAAGGAGATAGAGAAAAAGAAAGAATGATAGGCCAACATTACTTTGATACCTTGGTGATGCGTTCTTTTTTCCAAGATTTTGTTAAAGGCGGAATGGATGATGATATTATACGCTGCAAAATGCATGATATTGTGCATGACTTTGTACAGTTTCTCACCAAAAATGAATGTTTTATTATGGAGGTGACGGAAAGTTGCAAAGAGGAAAACATGGTAGTCCATAATAAGGTTCGTCATTTGAACCTATTGTCAACATACAATGATTTGTTTCCTGTTTCAATCTACAATTGCAAAGGATTACGGACTCTGGTAATTTCTACTAGGAAACTTCCTCCGTTACCCTGGGACTCATTTTCAAAATTGAAAAGCATCAGAACGTTAAAGTTAAATAAAAACTCAATCAAAGAAGTGCCCGAAAGTATTGGTGGACTAGTACATTTGCGGTATCTCGATTTAAGTGTAAATCATGAATTGGAAGAATTACCCGATACTGTGGGTAATTTATTCAATCTGGAAACATTGCGTCTCATGGAGTGCTATAAACTCAGAGAACTACCAGTGAGCGTAAGAAATTTGGTTAACTTAAAGCATCTTTATATTTGGGGGGTGCCGTGATCTAAAAGTACCAAAAGAGACTGGAAGATTAAGAAATCTGCAAATCTTAGATTGCTTGTATCTTCAGGACTCTGGCGAGGATGATGAAGGAATTTTCAAGTTAGGGGATTTGGGAAACTTGAAGCAGCTTCAAGGGAGCCTTCGTATAGAAAACTTGAAGTCAGCGAAAGATGGGAGTGAGGCTAAAAATGCAGAATTGGTGAACAAGAAGAACCTCCTTCATTTGACTCTACATTTTGGGCACAACTTTAGAGAGAGAGAGGCGAATTTAAAGGATGAAGAAATACTTAATGGCTTTCAAGTGCATACAAATTTGGAGTCGTTGGCTATCAGTAAATACCACAGTACCACCCTGTGCCCCAGTTGGATGATGAGCTGTCATAATCTGAGAAGGCTTGAATTCTATGAGGTTCAATTTTGTGGGGGGTTGGCTCCTCTGGGGAAACTCCAGTCCCTTGAATATTTAGAGATAAGTTGGATGAGGAGTGTGAAAAAGGTGGGAGTTGAATTTTTGGGAATAACAGGCGAAACACCGCAAACATTAATAAAGTCGTTTCCGAAATTGAAAAAACTCCGACTTCGAGACATGGAGCAGTGGGAAGAATGGGAAGGAGTAGAAGAAGAGGATTCTAAAATTACAATAATGCCATCTCTTTTATACTTAGAAATCATATCCTGCAAAAAGCTAAAAGCACTGCCGAACTACCTATGGAAGACCCCACTGCGGGAATTGAGCATCATGCAGGATTGTTCGATTCTTGCACAATGGTTCGAGACTAGATGTGGACGGAAGTGGGTGAAAAAGGTGTCTGAACTCCAAAACAGCCTAACTAATTACAAGTTTGTGAAAAAAGACGGGGTTGGAATGTTGGAGGATTGATTGATGATGGGGCCAAGGCGTCTGCCTATCTGATCCACCTCTTGGGCTAAAATGGTAATTTTGAACACCTTCCTTGCAATTCTTTAATTTTATTTAAGTTTCTAGTTGCTACCATCTTCAGATTTACTTATTTTCTTAAAATTAAATTATCAACAACTCTCCGAATCTCAACAACTCTTTATCCAAGAAACTTCACCTAATTTTGCATAATGGCAGACGGTCCAATTTTTTTATTTGCTTTTTGTTTAGTTTTTGGTTTCGGGAAGGCCCCATTTTACCAGATAATTAAATAAATAAAAGCAAGGGGAAGGTGGCTGGAGTGCTAAAATTCACCTAATTTTCCACACCAAACATTTTTGCAACGACTCCTCAACGCCAAATTTACCTTTTCTCCACTATATCTCTATATCTCTGTCTGGTCAAGTTTTTATTTTCTATTTTTGGTTTTTATCACTCTTAGTCTTACTAAACTATTTCTACGATGGGAAGCATTGACAGGGAAGAAGCAGAAGTGGATCTTAACCAATCTCTGTTAGCAGAACCATCTCAAGCCAAACACCTTCCATCCAGAGTTTGGATAGACTCCAAGGAACTATGGCGAGTTGTGGGTCCCGCCATCGTCAGCCGTTTGGCTGGCTACTCCATGGGTGTTATTACACAAGCCTTTGCCGGCCACCTTAGTGTACATGTCGTCCAACTCGCTTCCATTTCCATTGCCAACAATGTCGTTCTGGGTTTCACTTTCGGTCTCCTGGTAATAATCAAACTCACTAAATGTCAGACGGTGTTCGTGTAATAAATTTTATGTGTCATATAAGCTATTCCGACTTTCAGATTGTACAAAATGGCGCGGTGGAAGTCGGAATAGCATATTCCAATCTTTATTTCTCTGTCTCTAACTTTTTTGTTATTTTTTTTATGACAATTAATTAGCTAGGCATGGCAAGTGCGCTAGAGACACTATGTCGGCAGGCTTTTGGGGCAAAGAGGCACCACATGTTGGGGATACACCTACAAAGGTCATGGATTGTGTTGTTTTTCTGCTGCATTCTGTTGTTACCTATATACATTTTCGCCTCTCCAATCCTGAAACTGTTAGGGCAGGCCGATGATGTGGCGGAGCAAACTGGGGTGGTGTCTTTGTGGCTTCTGCCCTTGCACTTCAGCTATGCGTTTTTGTTCCCACTGCAGAGGTTCTTGCAGAGCCAGCTGAAGAACTTTGTGACTTTGTGGGTTTCCTTGGTGGTTTTGGTGTTTCATGCGTTGATAAGTCGGCTTTTTGTGTATGTATTGAACTTTGGGGTTGTGGGTGCTGCTGTTGCTTTGGATATCTCATGGTGGGTTTTGTGCTTTGGGCTGCTTGGCTATGTTACATGTGGTTGGTGTCCACTGAGCTGGACTGGTTTCTCCATGGAAGCCTTTTATGGGCTTTGGGAATTTGTCAAACTTTCTACTGCTTCTGGTGTCATGCTCTGGTATTACATCTCTCTTTTTTTAACTTCTTTCTTTGTTTTCTTGTAACCTAAAAGAGAATATTCATTTTTGTATGGGGCTTGTAGTTCAAGTGATTAAGATTATTTATCTTTGCATCTGAAATTCTAGGTTCGATTATCCACTCTCTGAATATTGCTTGTCTAAAAACATAGTAATAAAATCCATTCTTATTAAGCACCTTTTGCTTGGGAGTGCTTTTAAAATTGTTAAAAGCGCTTTTAAATGGGTAAAAGCACTTCTATCTTTTAAAAATGATGTTTGGCAAAAATTGTAAAAGCGCTTTGGGTGGGATTCAAAAGTACTTGAAGTGGTTTTTTAAAAAGCACTTGAGAATTGCTTCTTCATGGAAGTGCTGCCAAGTGAATACACGGGAAGCACTTGGCTCCCTTTAATGAAAATTTCAAAACACTGAAAATATCCCTATTTAATTTTCTAAAACGCCAAAATACCCTCATCTGTTCTGTCGGTCGCTTCTCATCAGACTCCATCTTGTTATTTCTCTCTCTCTTGGCCTCATGGTTTCTTTCCGGGTAGAAGATTTGACTATCAATTGAAGGCCATGGCCATGGCCATCCTTGCTTCTCTTGCAGATCATATTCTAATCATTCAAAACCATCTGGGTATTTTTTGTTTTTGGATTTCCTTATCTGAGTTCTCTAATTGGATATGTTCTTCTATGATTTTTTATTATTTGGATGAAACTGGATCTTCTCTGCCTTGAAGTCCTTTTCATATTTTTGAATTTTTTATTTAGTGTGTAGGAATTGAAGTCTTTTTCATGGTTTTGAGTTTTTTTTTCTTTTTTCAAATTTGTACACCTGGACTTGTCAATTTCTTTTTGTTTTGTTTCATGAGTAAAATTTGCAGTGGGCTTGATTGAATTAACAGTTTCATACGTTAATTTGGGTCAATCTGTATTGATTTGTTCGTTTTCATACTATCTGGAATCAATGCAGCCAAAAGGGTGTTCATAACAAGCTGGAAAGCTGGAAACGTATTGTTTTTAAAATAATTTTTCAGTTTTGGGTTAAGAAATTGTAGTGCCATTGTTTTATACTGTTTTCTAAAAACTGTATATGGAAATATTTTTGGAAACTAGAGCCTAAGAAATGCTTTGTAAGTGGGGTATGTGTTCTCAAACCAATTCTTTAGGAAGAAGGAGATTTGCTATACTAGTTGTCATTATATTCTCAAACCAAGCGTTTGGAAATTCCTGACTCAACCAAGAAGATAAAACAATGGAATTGGTTTGATGAGTTTAGTGGAATTGAACAAAGCAAAATTGCATGTTCAAACATTCAATTATTTATCTGATATGTGATTCTAAGGTTAGTTGTTTTTTCAATGTAGCATTATAATAATCAATATAGGTCTACTGATTTTAACAATGCTGCAAATCCCAGCCCTGTGACCCCATTGTTACCTGATTTCATAGATCCATCTCTATGTTATCTCCTTAATTAACTACTAAGGATTTGGTCTTTTGCAGGGATCATCTCTATATAATTTTTCTTTCCTATGTTTATTACAGTATTTTGGGATTCTTTAAACTTTTTTTAAGTACTTTTTAAAACGCTTTTAGTGTATTAGCCAAACACTCAATAAAATATCAAAAACGCTTTTATGTAGTGTAAAAGCACTTTTAAATGTGACATCCAAACAACAAACTGCTTCTTTGTAGAAGCGCTTATGTCATAAGCGCTATTGACATAAGCGCTACTAGCATAAGCCCTTCGGGAAGAAGCACTCCCAAACGAGCCCTTAATCTTAAGCATTGCCGTTAATGATTTATGCAGTTTGGAATTCTGGTACTATAGAATCTTGATATTGATGACTGGATACTTACAGAACGCGACTCTTGCTGTGGATGCCTTATCAATTTGGTATAAGAGTACTTTTATTTTTATTTTATTTTCTTACAGTCTCTTCTAATTTGGTGAAATTACAATTTCACCATATTATAAGTGTAAATTTTTACCTTCTCTTTTCGTATTGTTTGCATTGAAATTTGCAGCATGACTATAAATGGGTGGGAGCTCATGATTCATCTAGCCTTCTTTGCTGGAACAGGGTACCTTTTTTGACCTCTCGCCACTTTTTTAGTAAACAATAGAAAAAAAAAAAAAAAAAAAAAAAAAAAAAAAAAAAAAGTAGAATTATTTATGTGTAGATGTAGCAATGATATGTACAGATCTGATCTATATAGTTTCACCTAAATCAACGGTTAACGATGGTTCAGTGCTTAACTTGAATATTGCGATGCCTAAAATGTTAGGGTTTTTTCCTTGGTATTAAAAGATGGTGTTTAATTTTACAGGAGTGGCTGTGGGCTTCAGGATGGCAAGCATGGGTGACAACACGACGTGATTGGGAAAAGGAGCTATGATTCGAACATAAAAGTCCATTCATTTCTTAAAAAAGCTCCACTTATTTCTTTCAACCAAAAGAAATAAAAGAAGAATTAAGGGAAGCTGAAGCTAACATTTTATTATACAATATTGGTTGACCAATATGTTTTGGACTTTGGGGTTGTGGGTGCTGCTGTTGCTTTGGATATCTCATGGTGGGTCGTGTGTTTTGGGCTGCTTGGCTATGTGATGAAAAAAGACGGAGTTGGAATGGAGGAGGATTGATGATGGGCTCTGCCTATCTGATCCACCTCTTAGGCTAAAATGGTAATTTTGAATACATTCCTTGTAATTCTTTAATTTTATTTAAGTTTCTAGTTGCTTTGCTTCCATCTTCAGATTTACTTATTTTCTTTAAATTAGTAACTATAATAATTGTTATCAATAAATACAAAGGAGGAATTTAAATTAGTTATTGCATTTGTTTTCGATTCTTTTCAATTTAAAAGTCATTCTTTGATCCTTTGGAATAAGGAGAATCAACACAGCAGGTCTAGTATGTTTCTCCAGATGCACCTATCTATCTATCATGTTTCTTTGATAGACTTGGCAGCTGCCCTTGTTCTAATTCGAGCAAGTCTCGTCTCTGCAATATATATCCTCATTTCATTTCAATTCATCATACTTACCTCCTAGTCCTAGTGTTCTGTTCGAAGGATGAAGTCCAGAATCTGCTGGTTCAAATTTTACACGGACCTTTAAATTTTTAATGTGTTGATGGTCTTTGCTAAAATAAATACAATCATCAATATTCTTTTCGTCCGAAGCGAACATATATAAGATTTGAACTCATAATCTTTTCTAATAAAGTGAAAACTAAATGTCATTGAACCGATTAGTCATCAACTACAATGATGGGAAGAAGTTCAATGACCATGTTTCTTTTTCTCCTTGAAAAATTAAAGGGCATTCCAAGCGAAAACCCATGAAGTCATACAATTAAAATATGGAGGCCAAGGGGAAGCAAATTTCTCCTAATCTCAACAACTCTTCATCCAAGAAACTTCACCTAATTTTGCATAATATTGCGTAATGGCAGACAGTCCAATTTTTTTTATTTGAAGTTCTCTGCTTTGCTTTGCTTTTTGTTTAGTTTTTGGTTTCGGGAAGGCCCCATTTTACCAGATAATTAAATAAATAAAGGCAAGGGGAAGGTGGCTGGAGTGTTAAAATTCACCTAATGTTCCACAGCAAACATTTTTGCAACGACTCCTCAACGTCAAATTTACCTTTTCTCCACTATATCTCTGTCTGATCAAGTTTATATTTTCTATTTTTGGTTTTTATCACTCTTGGTCTTACTAAACTATTTCTACGATGGGAAGCATTGACAGGGAAGAAGCAGAAGTGGATCTGAACCAATCTCTGTTAGCAGAACCATCTCAAGCCAAACACCTTCCATCCAGAGTTTGGATAGAGTCCAAGAAACTGTGGCGAGTTGTGGGTCCAGCCATCGTCAGCCGTTTGGCTGGCTACTCCATGGGTGTTATTACACAAGCCTTTGCCGGCCACCTTGGTGTCGTCGAACTCGCATCCATTTCCATTGCCAACAATGTCGTTCTGGGTTTCACTTTCGGTCTCTTGGTAATAATCAAACTCACTAAATGTCAGAGGGTGTTCGTGTAATAAATTTTATGTGTCATATAAGCTATTCCGACTTTAGCATATCCCAATCTTTATTTATGTCTCTAACTTTTTTGTAATTTTTTTTTTTTAATGACAATTAATTAGCTAGGCATGGCAAGTGCGCTAGAGACACTATGTGGGCAGGCTTTTGGGGCAAAGAGGCACCACATGTTGGGGATATACCTACAAAGGTCATGGATTGTGTTGTTTTTCTGCTGCATTCTGCTGTTACCTATATACATTTTCGCCTCTCCGATCCTGAAACTGTTAGGGCAGGCCGATGACGTGGCGGAGCAAACTGGGGTGGTGTCTTTGTGGCTTCTGCCCTTGCACTTCAGCTATGCGTTTCTGTTCCCACTGCAGAGGTTCTTGCAGAGCCAGCTGAAGAACTTTGTGACTTTGTGGGTTTCCTTGGTGGTTTTAGTGTTTCATGCATTGATAAGTTGGCTTTTTGTGTATGTTTTGGACTTTGGGGTTGTGGGTGCTGCTGTTGCTTTGGATATCTCATGGTGGGTTTTGTGCTTTGGGCTGCTTGGCTATGTTACATGTGGTTGGTGTCCACTGAGCTGGACTGGTTTCTCCATGGAAGCCTTTTATGGGCTTTGGGAATTTGTCAAACTTTCTACTGCTTCTGGTGTCATGCTCTGGTATCACATTTCTCTCTTTTTTATTTATTTCTTTGTTTTCTTGTAACCTAAAAGAAAATATTCATTTTTGCATGGGGCTTGTAGCTCAAGTGATTAAGATTATTAATCTCTACATCTGAAATCCTAGGTTCGATTTTCCACTCCCTAAATATTGCTTGTCTAAAAACATAGTAATAATATCCATTTTTGTATGGGGCTTGGAGCTTAAGTAATTAAGATTATTTATCTCTGCATCTGAAATTCTAGGTTCGATTCTCCACTTCCTGAATATTGCTTGTCAGTAAACATAGTAATATTATCCATTCTTACTAAGCACCTTTTGCTTTTAAAAAGAATCACACTTAATCTCAAGCATTGCCGTTAATGATTTATGCAGTTTGGAGTTCTGGTACTATAGAATCTTGATATTGATGACTGGATACTTACAGAACGCGACTCTTGCTGTGGATGCCTTATCAATTTGGTATACTACTACTTTATTTTTATTTTTTCTTGCAGTTTCTTCTCTTCTAATTTGGTAAATTTTCAATTTCACCATACTATAACTGTAAGTTTTAAGTTTTAACCTTCTCTTTTTTGTATGGTTTGCATTAAAATTTGCAGCATGACTATAAATGGGTGGGAGCTCATGATTCATCTAGCCTTCTTTGCTGGAACAGGGTAACTATTTTTGACCTCTCGCCACTTTTTTTAATAAACAATTGAAGGAAAAAAAAAACTTAAAACTTTGCTAGAAAAAGAGATATCTATTTTCTTATTTTGCTTATGGTTAAATATAATTATAATGTTCATTCTTTTTTGTCATGAACTCACAGAGTAAGGGTAGCAAATGAGCTGGGAGCTGGAAATGGTCAGGCAGCAAAATTTGCAGCAAAAGTTTCTGCTGCGGAATCCACCTTAATTGCCCTATTCTTCTGCATACTTATTATTATATTCCGTGATCAGTTTGGGTACATATTCACTTCCAGCACTGATGTCCTCCAATCAGTTAGTGAAATGTCTTACCTCTTGGCCATCACAATTCTACTTAACGGTGTTCAACCTGTCTTATCAGGTTAACTTTTAATCATTCGTAAACTTTCGTAGGTATACGATCTTTACTTACCAAAAAATACGACAGTCGCTTATATGTATATAGATGGTTATTTGTTGTATATATATATGCCGATCTAACTATAGGTTTCACCTAAATCAACTGTTAACGATGATTCAGTGCTTAACTTGAATATTGCCATGCCCAAAATGTTAGGGTTTTTTCCTTGGTATTAAAAGATGGTGTTTAATTTTACAGGAGTGGCTGTGGGCTCAGGATGGCAAGCATGGGTGGCATATATAAATCTTTTCTGCTACTACATTATTGGGCTCCCACTTGGATTTGTAATGGGATGGGTCGCCAACTTAGGTGTTATGGTATGTTTGGCTCCTAATTTTGGGTGCTCTGATTCATATAATATATACACTTCTAATGAGCTCTTTCAAGCACTAATTTACTACATTATCTCAGTATGCTTGTGGAAATTTTCTTTTATAAAAACAGGGTATATGGGGTGGGATGATCCTTGGTGGAACTGCTGTCCAAACAGTGCTGTTGGCCATCGTGACAACACGACGTGATTGGGAAAAGGAGGTATGATTCGAACATAAAAGTCCACTCATTTCTTTTCACAGAAAAAAAAAAATTTCACTTATTTCTTTCAACCAAAAGAAATAAAAGAAGAATTAAGGGAAGCTGAAGCTAACATTTTATGATACATATATTGGTTGACCAATTTGTGCAGGCTCAAGAGGCCAGCCAGCGTGTAAATAAGTGGTCAACTCCTAACCCAGATGATCAAACAGAGGAACAACAATAATAACAGCATATTTTATTCTTATTGCTACTTGCACACACTGTGGGCTTACTTAACATGCCATTCCCATCAAACCCATTTTTTCCCAACATTTGGGGTTTTTTTTTAATTTTTTTAACATTGGGAGGAAAGAAACCTCGAATTTCAATCCTGGGTGCCAAACAAGAGAAAAGAGAGAGGGCCACAACAACTATGGTAACCCCGCCCGACCTGGGTTACATTTTGGTAACTGTTCAAAATGCAAGCCACATGGATGCGATTTAAGTGATTATTAAGCTAAGTTTTCAAACAGTAACCAAGGAATCAGTATAACAATGACCCTTGAAAAAAATAAAGGCCACTGCAATAGCTTGGCCAGAGCATTTATAAAACTTGCCGTCCAAAGAAGACAAATCTTAGCAGCCTAAGCTCATCCACAAGCAAACTAATAGATGAAAACACAATCAACATCAATGTTAACTTTGACGCATTGGGCAAAGACGTGACAGAGGTAACCCATCAACCTCCTCTCTACAAAAAGACTAAAATATGCAAAAGCATCCATGAGAAAAATCAAACCCTAGCTCAAAATTTCATTCTCTCTTTTGTCCAAACTTTTCTCCAAAGAAAAAACAAACCTAATGGAAGTTTTTGTCCAATAACAACAAAGCCACCTTTGTTATTATTATCCCCACAAAGAAAAAAAAAGAAAGTCTTTGAACCATTATGTCGGCATACATCACAATTTTACATTCACATTGTTCAAATTGTGACATCAAATATTGATTCACTCTTCACACCAAAAACCAAATCATATAGAGATCAATAAGTACTTTATGTTAAGTATTGGTTACATATTTCTAATATCAAGTATTGAATTGCTTGTATGTTGCATATTAAATCTACCAACACATGTCTAATGAATGTAATCCAACGATCAAGAATAGAAATATGTAAACCAATTCTTAACTTAAATCCTTATTGGAGACACTGTCATAAAGACAAAAGATACATCTTTTCTTTTTCAATTATATTAAAAAGATAAATCTTTTGTTCAATCTAGAAACATTTACGTACGAGTGACTCATATCAATTAGCATAATTTACATGTAATTAGAAAGTGTACCACTACAAAAACCCGACCCGGTCCAATAATTTACTTTTTCAAACTGCTATTGGGGTTGGGCCAAAATCCAACCAGCCACCACCAGATGGTAACAGCAACAACTGTCCTGGTTCAAGAAATGGGTTCCAAAACTGCGTCGACTCGGCCGACTCGTCCCTCCCCACAAACCTCACCAGGCTCTTCTCTTCTTTTTTCTTCTTCGTCTCCACAAGCATGGCCTTCGTCTCCCGAACCGTATCCCAAAACCCATCATTCCTCGTCCTGTTCAAAAACAACAGCATCAACTTCCCCTTGCAACCCTCGAGCCTCTCCAACGCGTCAATCAACTGAGTCAACTCATCAGAATTCACTCCCTCGACTGAGCCGACTCTGTCCCCAACTTCCTTCACTCGGGCCAAGATTTCTCGCTGAACAGACCTGTAATCTTCCCCTGCAGCTCTTACAACCTCATAAACCAAATTGTTCCTCTGAAGGTCCAAAGAATTTGGTGCGTCGCAAATTCGTACCACAAATTCTACAAGAACTTCAATCTCCACTGCTAAATCCGAGTCCAGTAACGCAAGTGCCTTCTCTTCTTTATCTTTCTTCGATGAGTTGAGATAATACCCAATTGCTCTAGACACCATCAAATTCTGCTCAACCACACCAGCGTACCATCTAACCCAAGAAGAAAATTCCCACATGACCAAATCAGAATTGTCAGAAAACATAGAGAGGTTCAAGAAATTGTGTCCCCCAAAAGAAGGGTAAAAAGCAAGCTGGTCGTTGAGAATAAATGACCCTTTCGCTATAATGTTGTGTAGGGTCAAGAGGCACTTTAGGGCAACAAATGCGCTCTGCGTTCCGTGGAGGCGATCCATGAGCGCCTCAATGCATGCGCATGCAGTGATACGTGAGGAGTGCCCAAGAGCGAGCACGGAGGCGATCTTCTCCTCGGAAGGCGGCCGTGACGGGTGGTGGGTGGTGGCGCGTAGGACGGCAACGTGCACTGACGAGGCATGGCGGTTGATGTATAGAGTGGCCTTGAGGATCGAGACTTTGTCTTTCAAAATGCCGATGAGTTTGATACGGGCCATGGAAGATGGACGAATTGATTGGAAAAGTGAATGAAGAGGGAGTTGGGAGAGGGCGGAGGGTATAAATTGACAGGTAAACGCGGTTTCATAATTTGGTGGTGTCCGTGTGTGTGTGCAAACTGTGCACGGCTTTTTACCATATGGGAAGAGAGGCTTGAACGCTTTTTAAGTGTGTTCTTACACTTATGTGTAAGTTGGAGCGCGAATAATGCTTTGAGTATAATAAAAATTAATAAATATAAATCTAATTTTTTTGGCAGCGTAAATATAGAACAGTTTACAAATAAGATATAAGGTAAATGTTTATGGTTTATATGCGTCCAGTTGTCCACAAATGTTATAGTGGGTACTTTTATGTCATGTGTCAAGTTGAGTGGCCGACACTAATTTTTTTAAGAATGGGTTATATAATTTTATTTATAATTAAGATTATATAACGCATGATAAATTTTAATTAAACGGTATTTGTCATTTACTTTTACACGTACCACGGAAATACTTATTGAAGTTTTTCTCCCTTTTGTCTACTTGGATTCTTTCTCTTCCGTATATATTCCTTAATTATTTTGAAATATTCAAATCTGCAATACCGAGGATGTTATACTTTTATATTTTAATGTTTTATGAAAGGGTATGTTAATGTTTGAGTAGACTATTATAGGATTCATTGACGTAGTCCAAAGTCCAATTAGATGTTTCATCGTGCTTAGTCTATCACAAAGAAAAATGATAAAGCATTAATTCTGAAATAGTACCAATAACTATGTAAAGCATCCATATATGGAAAGGTAACTTAAAGGTAAATGGCGTGTATATATGGACTTTTCCTCCTCTTAAATTGTCCTATAAAAAGATGACAAGTATCTTATTTAGGTTTTTCACACACGTATTATGTAGCTCCTCTCATTCTAGCATATCGACATCGATCTTTCTTAGGCTAGAAGGGAACCTGCCAAGATATAGTAGAGCAGTTTCCTCACATCTAATTTCAATCGTTTTCGTCTGACAAAATTGACTAATACATTACTAACGAAATTTTATCAAACTGTTTGGCATCGTCTATTGAAACAAAGTTGAAGTTATATATATGGGTGATTCTCAAAAGAGACATACATGAGGCCTCACCTAGAAAGAAACTACGCCTCAATTGGGAGGAACATACCACAAACTAAAAAGTGAAATCTTGGAAGCTCGGTTGGAGGAAATGAAGATAAGATTAGGAGCAAAAGAATCTGATGAAGCAAGAAGATAAATTCGATTGACAAATGGAATATATCAGAATATGAGTGACCATATATAAGACCATCCAGGTATCGACAAAATTGGCACCATATCAAAAGAAATGGGCCCAAGTAGGAAATACAGTTACAAATGCCCGAAATTGGAGGGTTGAGCCCATATTGGTGAGAATGGGGCCGAAGCCAAAATGTTGTTTTTTTTTTTTTTTTTTTTCTTTCTCCTTTTGGATCTTAAGCCTTTATCTTGTCGTAGTTGTTGTTGTATTTGTATTTCATTGTGTTCTATACATTCACATATTATGGTTCCTCGCCAACTGAGGGTTAGTTGAGTTGGTAATGATCATTTTCTTCACTATTAAGGCTAAGGCTTGAGTCGCGCTATCGACAATCCCTTTTAAAGAGTAATCTGTAAAGACCAAAAAAAGGGCTAAGACCCCCACCGTAAGTCCTCAAAGAGGCCTTAGTATGCTTTGACCCTGAGATGGGGTAGCTTCCCCTCCCTCTAAACTTTGTTCACCCCCAAAAAAAAAAAAAAAATATATATATATATATACATATAGCTTCTATTGAGGGAGCCCTCAAATAAGCTTATTTGTGGGACACCCTTGTAGGGCATACTCTGCATTATATTTCACTAATCTAAACCGTCTATTTTGTATATATTCACTCAAAGATTATCTCTACAAAAAATCATTTGAATCCGATATCATTTGATCACTCAATTCAATTATTGAAATTTTAGTACTTTCTTGAATCACTATGTTCATTGATTTGGTATGACACAATTAGATGTCTAAATAGTTTCTGATTTGTCTAATTTTTTATAAGGATGATTTATGAATAAATACCTAAAAATAGATTGTTTGGATCGTTGAAAAAGAATTCATAGGGTACCCTAAAGTACGTTCCTAAAATAAAATTATTTAAGGAATCCCTCAATAGAAGATGACTATATATATATATATATATATATTATGATTCGTTGACAAATTGTAATTTAAAAGACAAGTTTCTTGTCATTGGTATAAAATATAAGACAAAAGGCCGTCATGAATTTTGGAGAAATGCAGGGCGAGGAAGATTCCCTCAACATCGTGTTAGAACAAATTAGTTTTTAGTCTAATGGTACAAGTAGTTCTCTTTCTAATGTCAATGAAAATTACAAATTCAAATCTCCATTTTTCCGTTGATTTAAAAAGAAAAAAAGGTGTTGAGCATGACAAGAAACATAGTATATTCCACACATGCCACCAAACATTGGTAAATGCCTAATCAGTCATCGCCAACGTTTGGAAATTAGATCATGGCTTGAAGAGTTGACACAAAGCTAAAAACAGATGATCCGGTTGCAGGGTCCGTTCGCTTTCAGACATATGCAAATGCAACTTGGATTACATCGAAGTCTCATTCGTTTAATGTCGTTTCTTAATTAATTTGTAAATGCGATTGAAAGCAAATGTAGTTTGAAGTTGTTTGGTATAAACTTTGACTTTCAACACATCATATGGATACAGACTTGATAAGGTTGGATCCTCATCTCTGGATATAAAATTATAAAACAAAAGCTATCAGCTCAGCAATCAAAGATGACCACCAATTAATTAAAACTATATGATTAATTTCCTATTAGTAAATGCCTTCACCTCTATGCTATTTGAAGATGGAAATATAAGATTTTTTCAAATTTAATATTCTCTTGTATGTATCACACAACTAATTCAATGTTTATAAATGTTGTAGGTATCGCATAATTTTCTTACATGTTTTGTCTCGCAATTTGAAAAAAAATTTAAAGAAACAAATAAAAAAATACTAAATTTAAATAAATATGTACACAAAATTTGAGTAGAGGCAAATTTAAGCTGCTGCATATTTTAAACCTGATCTTTTCTCCGCAAGGCATCAGTTGACCGTTCATCATCATCACCGTCAATATGAGCCAACTGTGATTTCTTCGATTCCGATGGAGCAACTGTCGACTGGGTTGCCACGTCATTATCTCCAATTTGGTTCCTAACAGAACCGTTCCGGGAAACAAAAGGTGGCATCATTGAGAAACCCCACCGGCTTGACCGGCTCGCTCGGTTTGACCGCGAGCTTGGTTCGAACCGCTCATACAAATTGGGGCTCTTTCCGCGCACGCTGTCATTCCTAAGACCTTTCCTTGTACTCCCAGCCCTTGGGAATGCCACGTTGCTACTCCTGCTACGAATCAAGGCCGAGTTCATGAGCTGAGCTCGTACCTCGTCTGGTAATCGTAGTGTAAACTTCTCGACGTTCTCGCCGGGTTGAACCAACGAGTGACCGGTCGAGTGCGACCTTGGAAATAATATTCCAGTGAATCGCCTCCCAGTTGATCCTGACCTCGGCGGTCTAAAACCTGTTGACCTCGACCTAGGTGGACCTCTTTTATTGGTTCCTTCACTCACATTCACCAAATTAATAACCACTGGCGTTTGAGATTCTTCCTCTTTGATTTGATCTTCAACCACCCGAACTGACGCCTGGCGGGGTGGCATATGCGGTGGTGGCGGTTCATCCACAGTACACGGGCCTGCATCAGGTTGACCTGATTCGATATCGGGGTTAGTCGGGTCAACCCAAGTGTAGGGCTCTTCGCCCGGCTTGGGAACCAGGTAGGCCCGGCAAACTGGGCAAGTGGAGTGAGAGAGCAGCCACGTGTCGATACAATCCGGGTGGAACACGTGATCGCATTTGGGGATCAAACGCAGCGTTTCGTCATCTTGAAACTCGTTTAAGCACACGGCGCATTCGAGCGAGTCCTTGCCGAGCTGGAGCCCCTTGACGTCGGAGTAGAGGAAAGCCGGGAAGGTCTCGATGACTGCGGGGTCGAGCCCACGCGCCATGCCGTTGCGGAGCGCAAGGTCCACATGACCCTGGAGGCGGGTCTGGGCGCACTGGCGGGTGTAGACGGACAAGAAGCCGAGGATGAAGAAGACGACGACCAGGACCACCATCACCACGGCCATCTTGACGTCGAACCTCGGCCCGCCTGAGTTGTTGGATGGCGGCGGAGGCGGTGGGTATTGGGCTGTGATCTGCTGCGAGAACAGGAGGAAGCTGAGCGTCCACGCCAACAAGGCGGCGTGGTTGAAACTCATAATCACTACTAGCTTAGGGTTTAGGGTTTGCTGTTCAAAGAGAAGCAGAAACCAGAAAGGGCAGAAAAGGGTTGGCTCTACTCCATGAGCTTTGTATACAGAGAGGTAGAGGGAATGAATGTAGTTGAGGGGTTTGAATGAGTCGTGTCGTGTGGGTTTGTTTGTAGAGCAAGGAGGCTGTGGAGGTTGACTAATGGAGAAGGTGGGACCGAGAAGAAAATAAAATTTCTTTGGAGGATTATCTAACATATAATACTGGATTTTTTTATTATTATTTGTTATAATAAAAGGGGTGGATCAGTTGATGATGAAGATGGTGAGGTGGGGGGGTTGGGGTTGGGGGTGGCAATGATTGACAGATGTAGGGAAATGGAGGTTGGGACGCTTTGAGTTTGAGATGGCTGTGCATGTTGTTTTCTTGTGGTTTGGGTGATAGTCAATGTATGCGATTACAACGAGAATAGTTGAAGTAGAATTGTGTAGCTAGCTGGCATGAGCAAATTTTATTTTTTATACTAAAAACAATTATTAATCTGTATTCTAGAACATTGGTTGGTGCCTTCAGTTGTTTTCTTTAACAAGCACGGTTACTTGGTAGGTAGTTCCATAGGCGGCAAAAGAAGACCCAGGAAAGGGAATACTCTTTTGGACTATTTATTATAGGAATTGCAAACGTGAAAGCAATGAAAATGGGAATTGCAAGTTGTGGCTAAAACGGTACCAGGACGGCCTCCCAAACTAAAAGTTGACTTGTTGAATTTCATTCTAACAACAAATAAGTTATATATAACCTGAGATGACCAGCCCACCTATATCCTCTTTCTCCACTTGCTCACTTCTAAATTTATGATAATGAAAAACTCTTACATCAGGATGATATTTGTCTATAACGGGTTTGTACTTCTAGTGTTTAAGAACGGTTATCTTTACAGAATTTGTATTTTATGTGAGATCGCAGACAAGAGACTTGTACTTCATATGTTTAAGAGCGTTTTTGCATGCACTGAATCAAAATTATGTGTTCTATTCCTCTCTCCTCAAATATCATTTGTATTACTGAACAAAAGAACAATGATGAGATGACATGTCCTCATAGATGGATGCAAGTGTTGGAATAATAATTAGCGATTTTAATTATTTGAAGTCTCGAAGAGTGCTACTTAAATAGTTTTATTTTGTATTTGCATTGCATGTTTATTTACCTCATAGTTTCTATCTAGATGCATTTTGAGGGGTACGGGCTCATTACGTCCCCATGACTAGGTGTATTATTTCTTGTTGTCAATGAAATTCTCCTGTGCCTTCAAATTCCTTTGTAATGTAAATCCTGCCCAGTTCATTTTGAAATCCTGATAATTCGCCCCCGCATCTCCTTCTCTCAGTCTACCAAAGTAGACCTGGAAATGTAACTAGTACGGTAATGCTAAAGACAATTCTGGTCGGACCCAGGAAGCTTCTTATAAACGAATAAGTTATAGGAAGGGGATTGGATAATTAACCCATTAATTCAATATGCGCAGCCCCCCCAACTTGATGACATATTAGACATTAGAATGTATCATACTTGTGATATATAAAAACCAGAGTGACAGAGAAAGCTCACTTGTTCATCAAGTTTTCTAATTAAAAGTCCACATTCGAGTGCTTCTTCATTTGTTTTCTTAATTGGAGAGGATTGCATTCGTTCAATCTCAAGTATCTAATCAAAATATCTACTCATGCTCTTTAAAAACCATGGGCTTATAATTATATATATATAGTTATTTAATATTATATTCACTCTCTCGTCAAGAATTTTTAATCCGGGCTTCCCCCCTTGTGCTTAACCAAATCTTAATTTATAAAATAAAAAATTCGTAGTTGTTGCTTCCTTGATTCAACAGATAAGTATGTTCCTTTGACTAATGAAACTTTGTTAGATGAAAGTCTTTTGATGTTTATTTTATTTTTGCCCATGGAACTATTTTGATGATAACTACAAGAATACTCGTCAAGACTTATTGTCATCGTCGTTGGAACAAAATGAACAACGTTCTAGGGTACATAGCATGACATCTGATAACATCATTGTCTTTTTGACTGCTTAAAACACAAAACCAGAAGAAATGTTTTATTTCCTATTTGAATTCCGAAAAAAATACCACTCTATACAAGAAAGAAAAATCATTATTTCACCTCTTTATTCCCCTAATATTTTAGTAGAGCAAACCAGAGGAGAGAAGAACGAGATGAAAAGATAGGAGAAGATTTTTTTGTCTTCTATTTTTGCTATCAAGAATTTTAAAGATGAGTTTAAGATTAAAAAATAAAATTCAAAGACCCCAAAATCAAGAATTTTATCCACAAAGTAGAATCATATGACGTTTGGTGCTTGAAATTAGATTATATTAAAATCAACAGACCAGTTTTAATTTAGTTTTTTAATTGCTTCAATTAACTCTCTTTAAATTCTTCATCCATGATCGATGGGAACAAGGTAATCCTTTTGTCTTCCACAGTTATTTTCGTAATGATCAACCTTGATTTAACCTTGATCTTCTTATGGGAAATTTATTTTGTAATATCTTCGGCCTAATGACCCCAATCAATTTATCAAACAGTGGGCTCATGAAAGAAAGAACAGCCCAAAGATTCTCATGGTTATGGGCAAAATTTTGGAAAAGGAGTTTCTAGAAAAGAGCTCATGGGTTTAGGAGAATATTAAGTCCGTCTATCCTTTCCTGACAATATAAAGGCCTTATAAATTTGAGCGGTTCTCTTACAACATAATCGGTTTTAGAAACTATCAATCCACTAGAATCAAACTAACCTACGAGCTCGTTGGGATTGCTTTTTTAGGAAACACTTATGCTTATAAACGCCTTAAACAAAAGTGTTTTTATTATAAAGACGTTGAAATTTTCATAAGAAATCTAAATGCTTCTTAGAAAAGCACTTGACAGTGCTTCCTGAAAAAGCACAAGACATGTACTTCTCTAGAAAGGGGTTTTAGCCGTTCCAAGCACTCCCAGACCCTAACCCAATTAATGTACCAGCTAACTGGTTTAGGAACAAAACCTCAAACTTTATAACCATTTCAAATAATCAAAACAAAATAACTACTAAGTCTTAATGTTGAGCCCAAAAATGCCAAACACGTAAGTAGCCTAATAAGCCCAAAATAACTAGGGAGATCCACACATATGCCCTCGAGCCCACATGGTAAAACTCAATGAGAAGTGCACATCACATCAACACTATGCCTAAAAAAGACCAGTCACTAATGAGGCTCCCTGCAATCGCAATCGCTTAAGAAGCCCAAATTGACCCAATAATTTATCGATGTGGGGCTTATATACACACCAACTAAGGTGTTAAATTTTATTTTAAATTAAGCATAAAACCGGTTAGAACAAATTTTGAGACAATTCATAATGGACTTAGATGATATATATATATATATATATAAAATTTCCTGAAACAAATATTAAAGACAAGCAAGCAATGAGTCAATTTGCGGTGGCAACTAGCAAGAGAAAGCCAAAATTATCATTGTTGTTGTGTTGTGAAGGAGGCCTCTGGTTTGGTTGTGCCGCAGTGCCGCGGTTTTGGTTGTGGATGCCTGTGGGGGACAATAAGCCGAGTGTAGGGCTGCTAATGTCCAACTTGTTTTCTGTCCAGTCGAAGCTGACGAATTTGCTACCATGGATTGCCTAAATCAGATGTACCATTAATATTATGCAACTGAAATTGTTGCCATGCAAAATGGATTTTTTTAATTATATGTCTCTCCGGCTCAGATTAATTTTTGAATTTTATATTCTAATTGGGGTATTTAATTACGTTGGACAACTACATTAGCTGGTGAAGTTTTTTTGTTTCTTGGCTGATTCCACAAAATGGAGATTTCCGGTCAGGCATTTTATGTCTTGTTGGACAAATACAAAAGCTAATTAAAAAGGAATCTTAATTGGGTTTAAGTCAGTTAATGACATTACTAATCTCCTTTAATCATTTTACAGTATGATCACGTCATCATGCATCATGCTTCCAAGAAAGCAAATTCGATTGCTGATTATGACTCATTGTCTTGTAAACACTACTATTTGGCTTAATTAAACATTGTGATCCAATTATGATTTCCACTAACTATTGTCGGGCAGTATTAACTCCGCGTTCATTGTGATTAAGAGAAAATTAAAATGATAGTTCTCATGTCACAATGAATTTAATTAAGTGAGTCAAATAACTTGAAGATGAGAATAAACAAACTTGATAACAATAAAATTATTTGTGCCGCATTTAAAATCACATTGCAGAAGACATATATCTTTCTTAAGGTTTTATTTATTTATTATTATTAATTATAAAGGTCGTATAATCTAACTTTGAAAATTGATTACTTGTCTTCAACTTGATCACGAGTTGTATATGTATGTGACAAATTTTGTTGTTACTTAAAGAAAAAGAAAAATACTGCCTTATGTTTGTGTACCAGATAATTAAGATGGGGACTTGTACGTAATGGGTCAAATTTGAGATATGCAGTATCTTTTCCTATAAAAGAAATTGCTGAAAAATATACCATATATCTTTGACGAGTTAGAAACACAGACATGATCAATATTCTACTTTATGTTCCAGTTTGATTAAATGGTATACAATTTAGTTAAGAATTTTTTTAATCAAATTTGAGAAAGTACTCAAATAAAATCAAGTTCACGAAACCAACGGGGTCTAACTCAGTAGCAAAGAGCAGACAAGAGGTCTCAGGTTCAAACTCTCATGGCATCTTAGTTATGTGCATGTGTGTGAGAAATTCCTCTCCCCTGTAATTTAGACTATCGCTTGTATTAAAAAAAAATATATATATATATATATATTCAAGTTGATGAAGAACTTGTACAACAACCCCAGCTAAGATGGAGGTTATATAAATTGTCGTTGAACACAAGTACCTTATTATCCGTTGAACACCGTTTTAATTAACATCAATGTAATGAAATAATGTAGAATAATTT